CTTCTTGCAACTCGTTCAGCACGACCAGCGTCAGCTTCAAAAATGGGACGAGGGGTTGAACGGACGATGATTGGTCGCTCAATCAGCATACGGACGTATGCATCAGCGGAACTAAACTGCTGATACCTGAAAAAGACAACAATTACTTTCTCAGTATAATATTGAGCCATAACGCAAGAGAGAAGAGAACCACAAACAACTACTAGCAACTGAAAGATAGCGACTATCGATACAGTACAACAGTAGGAAGTGTATAATAAACGATAGCGTCCGCGAACACAAATTAGCATTATCGAGAATAAAAAATGAAAAAGAAGCAATCTTGTGCTGGCCCACCTTTTTTGCACCAACGAAAACTGATCTGTGAAGGAGCAAATGATATCTCGAACATGAGGCGCGATCTTCAAGCTGAAATCGCAAAAGACTACAAACCCATAAAAAACTTATTATAAGTAAGTTCTATGAAAGAAAAGAAACCCAAGAATGATCACAAAAGAAGGGCAAATGAAAAACTGCTCACTCCTTAGTCTCCAAGGGCACTGGTGGATCTACCGTTGCCCAGTCACGGGGCACTATACGCACTTCAACATCGTCTGCGGGAAATTCGCTGACTCTGTAAAATGAAATGCACGGATGAGTCGATTTGTCCTTCTGAGAAAGTGAAAATCAATGTTCAGAATAGAAAACTATAGTGAAAGAAGCGGTGACTAGATATCGGTTGAGCATTTACTTCCTTGGGCTACTTGTTGTGGACGAGATGTCGTAGAGAGCAGAAGTACGACGTTGGGCGAAAGCCTCTTCAACATCAACAGGGTCCACAACATCCACCAGGCTCAGCTGAAAAAGATTGATGAATGCAGAAATACGCCGTGATAGTGGTCAAGTTGTACGGGAATGTTACTGCGATTATGGAGTAGTATGGACGAGTTTTCAAAATTTAGGCCTAAAAGACATAAGAAGTATCGTCTGGAAGTAGACTACGAAGAAAAAATTAGGGCTGAAAAGGAACTGATATTTCAATTCTAGTGGATTCAGACGACCACTACCACAGAAATGTTGAATATTTTCGATGGAAAATTGACCTTTCTTGTTCAAAACCCTGGTCTATTGCGTCATAACGATTTCACTGGTGATTTAGTGTGTAGCAAAATACTATTGATATCGAGGTAAACAAGGCTATGAAACTCGGCAAATGACTTTTACGTCGGCAACTGCCACTTTATCACCAAGATTCAACGTCCGTCGGTTTACACTATCTTTTGGCATTCATAAATATCTTCAACAATGTGAATATGGCTTTCTCTTCATGGCCACAAACTACAAAATATGTGGACAAGGAATTTTCAAAAACATCGTTTTAGGAAATAGTGTCGTTCCCTAAAATATCCTGTGTCCTTATCCATTCACTTATGAAGCAAAACTTGGATGAGCATCATGAATGGCCAATAAAGTTGCTGCTCCTCACGGTTTGTGGGGTAGGGAGGGTTTGATGAGATTACTATGCAAAAACATTATGAAGTCTCCGAGCCGAATAGTTTCAGGCTCACATATTTGCAGATGAACCAATTTTCCCTACCAACTTTTTAAAATAATCTTTGAGTAATGTGCATCCAGGATCGGAAATTCGGGAGTTCCCAGTCGTCTAGCCTCTCACCCTTGCTCCCA